CTTAAGCTGTCGCACAGTATTGGGAATGGATAAATTCTTTGTGACCCTCTTATATGTGCTCGCGGCTCTGAATGAGAAGCTAGCGGCTCTCACCCTGGTCCTTGGACAAGCTAAGAGAATTTTAGCTTGCCCACCTCTGGTCCGTGAATGCTGGATTTCAAACAAATTGAGAGGATTTGACCCTTTAGACCCGTACATAAGCTTGTAAACCATGCACACATCCGCAACCATCCGACGTGTTTCGAGGGTGGAAAGTTCGAAGTATTTGTTCCTGATGGAAGCTTTGGGAACCCTCGAATACAAGAAGCTCCTGGTTCGCAAAAGAATTTTGCGAGTATAGTTATTTTGCACCTTCTCCAAAGCTAACACATCCCGTTTCTTAGTGGGGAAGAACACAGCAGCTCCCGTCTCTACTAAAGGACGAACGTATGTTTTGTATGCCTTGAGCAGAACAGACTTGTTAGTAGAGGACAAACCCTTGAAAATGTGATGCGTCCTAAGAAAAGCCAAGTTACATCGGTTTTTGATATGTTCGGAAAAGTCTAAAGTGTTGGAGTAACGAAAGCCAAGGTCCCTAACAGCCAAGGTCCCTTACCTTATTATCACCTCTATCGCTCACAGTGTACCCATACTGCCCCCTAGCTGCCCCCTATATCACTTCCTGGAACGAAACGTCCCACTGTGTCGTGGCAGGCAGTACAAATTTGATGACACTCCCCTTATAACGCCCGTTATCAGATTTCCGTCCCACCCCTACCACACTATCAACTTCGGACTTTCTGTGGCTAAATCAATGGTAATTATGAAATTGCTGTCTAACACTCATAATAAAACTTGGAACATGCTCAAGTCGCGCGGCTTTGAATAGCTTTACCTAGAATTTTCAAACTGTACATGAAATCGTTGTTTGCTCAAAACAGGTTCTCCTGAAAAAAGCTACTCTAAAGAAGTTGGTTGAATGGGTTCGTTGCAGGATCAGAATTTTGAAGATTACGAGGAAGGGGGTGAGGGGGACTTGCGGGTGGAGTGAAGGCTGCCAGTGTGGAGTCGACTTTTTTATCTCCTCAGACGAGTCTACTACTAACAAGCTTTCCCCACTGGCACCAAAAACTCGGCTTTATCCTCTCGGACGAGTCTACTACTAATAAGCTTTCCCACTGGTACCAAAAACTCGGTTGGACTAGGAGGGGAACGATCCGGGCTTTGAATCCCACACCAGGCTTGTGGTAAGTGGCGACACTTTCTCCGCATAGTCAAAAATTGCATCATAACATTATATCCTTAGATTACGACCCTGATATGTGTAAGAAGAGATAAGATAACTCAGAACAGATGGCAGTGCTTTTTCAATGCTTGTTCCCAGTTTTTTTCGCAACTGTGCGTGTACAAGCAGTCTGTTGTTGCTTGTCAAAACCCGTTGCCCTATCGCTGGGCATCCATTTTCCGTGAGAACTGGAGGGTGCAGCAGTCAAGTCGTGGTAAATCGAATCGGTTGCAATAATAAACTAATTTTCGCGGTGCATCTGCCTCTCGATACGTGAGCCACAGCCTCGAAAGCTTAGTCGTAAGGAGTGTAAAAAAGCAAAACAGTGACTGACTCGTCAACCTTTGTTGGTTACCATATCACAAGTACTCATCCGCATTCGATGTCTCCATCCCAGCAACCAAATTACGTACGGGAATCAATGTCGCATTGTTGCTGTGACGCATCATATATATTTCGCTGCTCGTCCTCTTTTACGCCCAAGCTGTTGCCAGTTTATGTCAGTCACTGTCACCCATAGTCAGTGTTCTGGTACCACCCCCTATTTCACTTCCTGGAAAGCACGTTTCCACTGTTGCTGCTATGCGGACTGTGACATCATCACAAACTCTAATGCCTCTTATCAACTCTTGTCGATTGCTGTCAGCTACTGTCACCAGATGATTACGTTCCCGTCCTAGATCCTACATCACCTCTTTAACCAGCTCCTTGTTACTGTGACCTGCGCGACGAGTTTGACGCCTTCCCTTTCATGCCCATTATCAGCTCTTATCAACTGTTACCCCTTCGCGCCACACACCATTCAATGTTTCCCGCTGACCCTTCATTCCACTTACTGACCCTACTGTTCCCTTTGTTGCTGTAGGCACGTCACTGCTCTGATCCCACAGCAACAGTGGGAACAGTGGGCTCAACATTTTAAGGCCCCTCATCAGCTCTTATGATCTGTTATCACTTCCTGTCACCAATGGTACATGTTCCCGTCTCACCCACTCTACCTTTATTCGAACCCCACATGGCTATATCAAAGAAAGTTATGAGCTTCCGGTAGAATACAGACATGGTTCATAACATCGCAACCAGTTTAGGGCGGCATGAGCATGAGCCCGCGCACTGGCTGCCTTGCTCTAACAATGGTGATCAAGTATTGATCAATATTGGAAGGGATCAGCTGATGATGGTAAGCTGCAAGCGGACACCGAGTGACTGCGATCCGACTAATTGCGGTGATATACACCTTACATATGTACATGCTTACATACACACATACATACCTACATACATACATACATACACACATACATACATACATACATACATGCTTACTTACTTACTTACTTACTTAAAGAATATGTACGAATATACATACTTTCATACATGCAAGCATTTGTATTCATACATACACACAATGGCAAACGTAGGCAATTCCATGCAGTAAGATATTGATAGTAGTGGGAGCCATTTGCGTAGCATCAGTGGAGTGTACCGCTGCATGCGAACCTTGCACAATTCGCTGGGCAGCTTATGTTTCCGCCAAAAGAGCAAAGAAACCACTCTAAACATTTCAGCAGGAAAAATATACGCCAGGACTGGATCCGACAAATGAAACAGTGAAGTGACGTTCAATCGTGAGCGAAAGCTAATATTAGTTCTTACTGTCGTATTCTTTTGAATGTTTCCGGGTATCTCCCGCTGAATATTGTTAGATGGTTAGCATCGGGTAAGATCAGAGGTGGCACACAACGAGAAGCTCGTTTTGCTATTTCCAGACCATGCTCAACACCAATAGCATCATCACGAGAACCGTGGCATACCAAAAGTGGCACCGTGATTCGCGGAACCTTTTCAATTCTGGAATTAAAACGGTTACCTTTTCTGGAGAAAAGGTATTAAAAGTGTTACTGTTTTCCAAGCATTGGGCAGCAGGTTGAAGTGCCTGCCTAGCATAGAACTCTGAGACTTTTTTTACATCCACTAAGGAAGGCATTCACTGCTCAGCTGCCTTCTCACTCAGGTATTAAAGGCTTGTCGAGTGAATCTGCAGGAGGCCTCATCTTGTTATTTATCGGGGTATGAGAGAAAAAGAACCAAAGAGGATAAATTTGCGTAGAGGCTTCCTGTGATTCCCCGATTCTTCAATTTACGGACTTTCCCGTGCGCCTGACGACATTCTTGAGAAGAAAACTGTTTCTTTGGCACTCACGTGGTAAATCTGTCGAGCCGGCTGGTGCTCTCTTTCCCAGGATTTGCACTGTACAGACGAAGGCCACTAGTGAAAGGAGCAACGAGCACCACTCCAACAACCCCGTTCGGAGTGCTGGCGGCCAGATGCGAAACAGCAGCTGTACCAAGGCTATACCCAATCAGCACTATCTAAATCATACAACTGCCACAAGTCCAAAAGTTCAAGTGACGGACTATTAGGATAGAGATAAAGCGATGGAACAGCGTTACGTCACAAACACAAAGCTCGAAACTTTGACAGCTGACGACAAGGAGACTGTTGTCCCAACGGCGGACCATCGCTGGGACTGGCATCATGGGTTTCGAGGAACGAATCATGCAGAGACACATACATACACGCACGAATGCACACAAACACAAACAACCGATCATATCGGGTAGGATGGGTATCGGAAAGAATGGGACGTGTCTTCTACCTGATACTCTTCTTTGATATGAGCTGGAATGGTCGCTGTTTAGTCCTCGAGGCTAAGAAAAACGAGGCAGAATCGAAACGCTCAAAGCCATCCAACAGGAGTTAGTAGATGAATTTATGCAAGGAAGAGACTTTCTGACGCTAGAGGCTCACTTGTAACTACACCATTTTCACAGAAGGCGCAAAAAGATGCCCTATATTTCTGACAATTGGTGTACAGTTGACACCGACTAAGGATTCAACAATTTTTTAGGGAGCGTTACCGTGGATTACCTTCGATTGTTAGAGAGCTCTTCTTGAGGCATTACCTTTTTATCACTCCTTGACCCGTTAACGAACTCATACACAGCACGAATATCTGCATAAATATTCTTCTCTGAAGGCTTTCCTGTTGAGAGACCGTAACTGAAATGGTTTCAATTGAAGCTGCTCAAAGTAAGATCAACAGGCGAACTGTTATGTCGATGTTGATCGTCCTTTCCTGAATGCCCCACAAGCACAAAAGCATCTAGATAATCTTGCTAATTAAAAGTTCGCTAAGTATGTGTTGTGTTAGGGAATCGAAGCCCTCCTCTCAGTAAAAGTAGGACGTGGGTCCCAGAAATGATATAGGGAGTGGGACAAGAGCAATTTTGGAGTGGGCCAGGAAGAGATAACGGCTTTCGGATCCGTTAAGCGGTGTTAGAAAGGTGACCATCTCCACAGCGCTCCTCACAGTAGCAGGGGCCACTAAATTTATAGCTCGGATTACAACAAATGAGGACTTGGTTCTAGCCATAAAAGGTTATATAGGGATGCAGGATGTATATACGGACATTGATGGTGTGTGGCGGGAGATTAAATCAAATTGGGTGACACCAAACGATATGATACCCGATAAAGGCGTTGAGAATGTAGAGACGTCAAAAATTGAGTTCGAGGTTTGAATTCAAGTCTGCTACCCGTCACAACTCCGTTAAAGCTATTATTCCGTCCATCGTCATAGTTTGGGTTTGTGGTTGATGATAGAAAATGTTAACGATATCATGAGGCGACAAAGTTGAGTTTGAGCGCTTGGATCTGCTGCAACGCTCACGAAAATAATACTGTTGATGAGACCCAGCTGTCACGCTCTTAGTAATGGATCTTTTACATTGGCGTTTATCCCTTTTTGTGGATGTCGGATTAGCGTTTATCCCTCTCTGTGGAAGTCGGATTAGCGTTTATCCCTTTCTATGGAAGTCGGATCTTTTGATTTTGTGACGCCATTTCTCCCGATTGAATGCATGATCTAGGTGGGCGCTAAGTATCTCACGATCCAAGTGGAGCGTGGCAGAGTACGCGGCCGTTCTACAAGAGGCGGAATTTTCGCATTTCATCAACTATGAGAACTACGCCAGGCTTCTTCCGCATGTCGTCGTTGCAAACCCGATCCATATGTGTGACAGCGCCGTCGAACGTAACATTTTCATCCCCGCCACACTGATGCGTGCCTCAACTTCTTCTGTGAAAGGATAGCACTCCGCTCATACAACGCTACTTGTCGGCCACCAGTCTAAAGAACTGGTGTCGTCCTGTCACAGAGTCGTGGTGCGCCTTTCAGCACACGCCGCGCTCACGCACGAGTTAACCTCTGAGGTGAGGCTGCCATTGAACAGAGTTCCTCATCCAAGATATCTGAAGATTGTTTCACCAGTGGGACCAGTAGCATCAGTTCCAAAGCTTGAACCTGTTGCTCGAGATCCCTCATATCTTCACCTGGCGAGCACCTCACTATGTGCATAGAGAAGCGTACAAGGAATAGCGTCCACGAACAGAAGTGGAGAGAGCGCAGAGCCTCGATGTATCTGACCTTTATGGAGAATTTCTTCTGCCTGTTTGTGTTGTTTGTAAGCTGCCCTTTGAGCTGGAGTACACAGGCACAGCAAGCGGAAGGCGATCGTATGCCTATTTGGTCCGGAAAAGCTAGACGCATCGGCTTTTTCTTCTTACGATGCCTCTTCAACAAAAGACGCGCGGCACGTATGGCGTCTGGTCAGTATACTGCAGCCTGGCGCAAACCCGCACTGATTGATAGAAAGCTGGACGGCTTCTACTGATACAACTATCAACAATTCGCTCCAGATCGTCAAGCTGTTTGACAGTGGGGGAATTGGAAGGTAGTTAAAGTCCGCAGAACTGTCGTTCTCTCTTGCCAGTCACACGTGCCAGATGTGAACGTCTTGCTTTCAGTAACGACTTGAGTAAAGAATATCGTCAATCATTCTGCAGACTACCAGTACCGTGACTTCCACAGGTCGCCTGGCCCTGTTATCTTGCCTGACTTTGAATTTTCGAGAGCTTTCGTTTCTTTCAGGGTTGTCTCTGAACGGAGGCAAAATGGATGGCAAGGTATGCATACCCCACTGTTGGAATTGTTTCAATAAAGGCACGCCATCGCCCTATTAATCCTATCGGTCTATGAAAAGGCTGCCACTATCAGTGGTGACGCTGGGGATTTCTCTACGTGTTCCCTCTGGAGAGTAGTGCCTTGGCAAGTTGTCGTTCTTTATCGTATGAATGCAGTTTCTCACTGATCTTTGAAATAGACAGCTTTAGCAGCACTTACAATCTTTTTTTCCGCACTTTCCGCCATTTGGTACAGTCTTGTGCACTGCGGAAGAAGGTGCGTGTCAGGTGGGATGAGCTTGGCGCAGTGCTTCCCCACCAATTATCGAAGCGAGCAAGTGAAAGTCCTGATCATGTCGTTGATATCACTCGTTATTCAGCATTTTTTGTCGCTTTTCTGCTTCTACAACTGGCAGAGAAGTCAGTCGGCGCCGTGGCACACTCATACTGCCCGACACAATCTTCATCCGCAGCGAATAGAGTGGAGTGTCCGCCGGTTCTCAGCTGGCTTGTCTCGGTATAGGCCTATTCGTTCTGCGATCCTTTACTTCAACATCGTCTGTCCACAACCATGCCTGCTCGACAATTCTACACCTTCCAGGTATTGCGATGCTAAGTTCGGAACGAGCCTTCTCATGTATCGCTTTGCAGCACCTTGCCAGGTCTGGGCAACCGTCGTGAGGGTCGGTAGTCGAATACGAGAGACAACAGCTGCCTATTTTTCTGTCAAATGCCAGCATTTATTCTAAAGACCACAATGCGCAGCTTGTTTCGACCTGGCGGTGTGGTCTTCAGCGCACAGGACAGCGGACGCGGCAACGGTCGCCTACACAAGCCCTCAATTGCGATGTTTAATGAGAACAATTTATTTGTGTCCTGGTACTTCCGCTGTAGAAGATGACTACGAGGTGGGAGCCGTGTTCACGAAACGTCGAATTCACGATGACCAGGTTACAGACTTCTGCATTTTTGAAGATTCGCTCCCGGTTAGGTGACGTAACCGCAACAGAAACCACCTGTGACAAAGAACCATGACAGCTGCAGCTCTCTTTCGTAGCGCCTACGGCACGTAGGGTCACCGAGACATAGGTCACCAGCGGCAATGACGACGCTTCTCCCAATCATCCAAGGGAACGAACTACTGGTACATGCTTCCGCTTTGTCCGTGGTATTACTTATTCGGATCTTTAGGACACGACTTGGGTCATATTTCACAAGCAGCTCAACATATCCTTTTTGAGAAGGCTGGACTTCGGCTCTAGACCCTCGCCTAGCCACTGCCTGTTGCCGGACCGGACCGGCAGACATTAAGTGCCGCTTACTGTGTTCACCGACAAGCGCATCAAATGTTCAGCATGAAGAAGCTCGCATTCAACCCTTCAGTTTGCCCCGTCAACCAACGCAAGACAACGTGTGCCGGCCGTTGCCCGAACGGCGAAGGCGGAAATGCGTGATGCTGTCTGATGGTGGGACCTATGTCTTATGGAAGCTGCTGCCATCTTACTGGTGGGTACCTTTGGCTTCTAAGGGACTCCCATTAATCCTAACTATTGACCGGACAAGCCTTGTTTATAACTGGTGAAATATTTCCTACTGTGAGGCACCAATCGCACTTCTACATCTACCGAGACATTGGGATATGGTGAGCGGCGTGTTTCCTGAATCTAGTCCAACGACCTCTCAAGCACAGTGACGATGTCGCAACTCCGAATATAAACTGAAGAAGTGGCTTATTTATTAGAGGACTGTAACTTTGCGGAAAGCTTTCTGTGAGCCGTTATTTAGCCACCTGCTGAAACTTTCACGGACACTCTACAGTGATAAGTGATCCAAATCACTTAGAGAACAGTTTGCTAAGAGACCACAGAAACTTGAGCCTACCAAACAAAGTGAGAATATTAGAGAAATTTTTTCACAGAAAACGAGGATTTGCCAGAAATGCACTGGGCGCGGTTTCCCAGTAGTTGCCAGAAATTTCCAAAATGCGAAAAGCTGACAAATGATTCCTATAGGAACCAGTCGGATCACCCGGCTGCCGCCGGGTGCTCCTCCATCATTTTCGAAGCCCGGCTTCGCCAGGCACTCTTCCTTGAGCGAGGTAGAGTGCACTAAATAAACCAAATGGTGGCGATTACTTTTTCGTTAGAATGTGGGAAAATTAGTTGGACAGCAGTTGCAACATCAGAATGGGTAAAGTTGAATTAGTCCGGATGAGTGCTTAAAACCTGGATGAGGCCCAAGTGCGAAGTCATGGATGGCAAACAAAGGAGAACTTCACATTCACAGATGCTTGTACATGTCAAAGTGTGTATCGCACAGAGAGCTCGAATATCACCACCGACAGGACGTCCCCACTCCTGATTGTTGGGACCCCCCCCACCCTCCATCTCCGCTCGACACCATTTCACGCATCTAATAGCAAACACTTCAATGGACGACCTTGATTTGTTGACATCGAAGGAATGAGTTCACGCACTGAGCCTCTAATACTCGGCATTATAGCGGTAAGAAGTGACAAAAATGTAGCGCAGATGGTATCTTATCCGTTTTTATCGATTGATAAGATTACCTGTCACCCGTCATCAATGTCCTCATCACTAAATCTCTATGATTTGGTAGCGTGAACCACCTTGAACAGCGACGACGACCCTACCAGTAGTTATCGCTTCCAGTCGCCCACGGTTGATGTCCCCATCTCACCCCTATATCACTTGCTGAAAAGTATGCCTCGCTGATGCTGTGACCTGCGCTGTGAATACGATGACCTCACCTTTCTAACGCCCCTTATCGAATCTTATCAGCAGCTTACAGTTCTTGTCACCCACCAATAATGTTCTTGGCCCATACCCTTTATCATATCTCGGAATCAAGAGCTAGCTGATGCTGTCACCTGCGTTATGAATAATAACCTTCCCTTCTAACGCCCCTTATCGAATCTTATCAGCAGCTTACAGTTTTTGTGACCCACCAATGATGTTCTTGGCCCATACCCTATATCATATCTTGGAATCAAGAGCTAGCTGATGCTGTCACCCGCGTTATGAATATGGTGACCTCCCCTTCTAACGCCTCTTATCGGATCTTATCAACTGATATCACTTCCTGTCACCCACCAATAGTGTTCCCGTCACACCCCCTACA